CACATTAAATTCACATTAATTCCTATCTAAAATATAAGTATGCAATTTAGACAATAGGATAAAATATAATGCTGGGGCAGACTCCTAGAAGTTGTTATGGTTTGGATTTGAAGTGTCCCCCAAAGACTCGTGTGTTCAAGGCTTGGTCTCCAATGCAGCATTGTTCAGAGCTGGAGCTTTTGGGAAGTGATTGGATCATGAAGGCTCTGACCTCATCAGTGGGTTAGTCTATTGATACCTGAATGAACTACTAGAAGGCAGTGGCAACTGTAGAAAGTGGGACCTGGTTAAAGGAAGTAGCCCACTGAGGGTATGTCTTGGAAGTAGGTCACGGGGCTTTGTCCCTGCTCCCATCCTGTCTTTGCTTCCTCACTGCCATGAGCTGACGGTTTTCCTTCTGCCACATCCCTTCACCAGGATGCTGTCTTTCCTCAGGCCCAGAGACACAGTGCAGCTGAGCATGGACTGAAACCTCTGAAACCATTAGCCAAAATAAATCTCTAAGTTGTTTTTCTCAGGTATTTGTCACGGTGACAAAAAGCTGACTAACACAAAGGTTAAGGGAGAACAAGACTCAGGAGATTTCTCTGAGAACAAAAGTATCTAACAGAGGCTCAAGCTATTTGGGAACAGGCCAAAGTAGAAAACGCAGAGAAGGTAACTGCCAGGGAGTCATTAGCCATGGCTCCAAAGGCAGCAATTATAGATCTCGAAATGCCACAACCAGGGCACTCCAAGTGGTGGCACAGAGCTGATAGTTCTGGGAATGAGCTTCTGTTCTCTGCCGAGGATCGGGGTATTCACACCCTGAGGATTAGTGCCTGAGAAAGGGTGAAGGATGCACCATGATGAAACTTCAGCCAAAGCACCCTCTGAAGAACTTTGAAAAAACTGTGGTCTGGATTACAAAGCAGCACACATGTGAGAGCCTGCATACAGAAGAAGTGATTTTGAGCATACAGAGGATTGGTCAAGACCCTACATTCTGGAGCATTTGAATCGTGGCTCTGGTTCCTTCTGGCTGTGTCCTTGGGAAAACTGTTTAACTTCTATGGAGTCTCTATTCACTAATTTAAAAATGTAGATTAAGAATATTACCTTATAGGTTGATATGACAATTAAATACATTAACTATGAAAAGAACTTGGAGCAAGGCCTGACACATCATAAGTATTATATTAGATGTTAGCTATTGTTATTTGTCTTTCTATACTTATACTTAAGTTCGGATGTTTAAATTGCATTTTCCCTTGTATTTAATGGGCTTGTTTCACATTCAGTCATGAAGGGGTAGGAATATGTCTCCTGCTTTACTTGGAAGAAATTGACGTAACTGACCAAGATAGTAATTGACATGTATGTAACTCAGTTATAAATTTAGTACAAGATATGACATGTTCTATCGAATTAGGGAGGAAAAGAAGATCAATGAGTTACTGGAATAATGAGAGGCTTCATGGATGAAAGTACTAATTGTCCAGATGTCAGGGATGGGTGGGACTGAAAGTTAGATCAGAGACACCCCGCCTCTAGAAATATTGTGATTCTGTATATAAGTTAAATAGATAAAGGAAGAATGAATGTACATTAGGAAAGTGATCTTCTTTAAGAATAACAGAGGGGGGATATACCTTGAGAAGACCATTAGGTGATGGGAGGCTAGGAAGTAAGAGCTAGGAAATGGAAAGCCAAGTAATATTATTAAACAGAAGAATAACCTGCTGTTATTAGAGAATTGAATAGACACATTAAATGCACATTAATTCCTATCTAAAATATAAGTATTCAGTTTAGACAATAGAATAAAATACAATGCTGGGGCAGACTCCTAGAAGTTGTTATGGTTTGGATTTGAAGTGTCCCCCAAAGACTCATGTGTTCAAGCCTTGGTCTCCAATGCAGCATTGTTCAGAGTGTTTACAGAACAAGATGTTTTTAAGTCTGCAATGAAGAACAAGTTCTTTCTCTAAAAGTGTTCTGTAGAAAGTTCTATAAGAAAGTTTAATTTGCAGAACATATAGCATAACATCCTCAAGTGTGACGATTAACTTGGCAGAGGTATGCAAGTGGGATAATGAGGTCTAGCTCATTGCCATGAAGTTACTGGCTTAGATCTATTCACATTGTCTCATGTCCTCGTCCTCTTAAATCAGAAGAGGAAATGAGTCACCCTAGGCAAACTGTCCTCTATCCAAGACTGTGCTCTCAACACATCTGGGTGTGTCAGATGCAGGAGAGAAATGGAAAGGGACAGGACCCTGGCAGACGAAGTCTGTTTGCATTTTTCCTTTGACCAGGGCCTGAAAGACCTTTTTTTCATCTGAATCAATATATGGCTTTTCTTGACTTCTAAGTGGCAGGAAAGATGATCAGCAAACTGCAGTACTGTAATTGTCTAACTAATGATGCATCTCAAAAATAGGTCCTGCAATCCAACTATCCATTTCCTTACTTCACCATTTCTGACCTTCTCTGTGTAACTTCTCTATTTCCTTCCCTGGTCCCCCTGACATGTCTGTCATGCCACAGACCATTTTAAGTAAAGGAGTTCCATTCAGATCTTGGGATAATCTGAGGGGCTATTTTTGGTACCATGCCAACCCACTCATGTTGGATGGAGTTATTTGGATGGGGAGTGGGAAGCTGGAGTGAAAGGAATTAATTCCTGCTGATGTGGTTCCTGGAGCTACCTTGAGCTCCCAGGACCTCTAGGCTTAGTGTTGAATGTCTCCCTGTTCCTCCTGAAGCTAGATGGTGACCCTTTCTCTGAGTTTTCTCACACAAAGTCCCCATCCCTATTGGTTGAGATAACTTGAGAATCTCTTCATCTTTGAAACAAAGGGTCTAAAATGCCTATCCAGGTCTTAAAGCTAATGTCTTTGACTGCAATCATTTGTCAATATTTGAGATTTTTGTTAATGTAAATAAACAAATTCTTCTTCCAGATTTAACTGTACTATTAAAGGACATTTTTCAAGACTATCAAAAACTTTCTGTATTTTCCTATTGAATCTAATGGCAGACTTTTTAAAAAAAAATACTAGGTATTGAACCTGGGGGTGTTCTAGCCATCCTCTGCTTTATCAGTCAGAGTCACTGTGATTGCAGGCAGTGCCACTGTGCCCTGCTATAATGGTAGAATTTTTACAAATCTAATTAGGTAAAGGGAAGGTTTTAACAGGAGCTCTGTGTGGTATACCTTATCATATCATATTGCTTCCAATATTGACTGCTGGAAAAACCTTTGACCAGAAAAGTAAGACCTGGATTTTAGTCCTATTCTGCTTCTTCTGTTAATCATGGCAAACATACCTAATTCTTTGGATCTCAGTTTTCTCATTTAAATGTTCATTATTAAAACACATGAAGTATAAAGGTTCCCAGCTCTAATAGTTTTTGATTCTGTCACATTTCTTCTCTTCAACCACAAGGGTATGAAGTTAACGAAATGGAAACCTCTGAGACAAGTAAAATTGCCAAGTGCACAGGACATCCCCATGAAGCCTTTTTCTACATCCTTGGATTAGGGAGAGAGTCCTAACTGTACATTCTGGAAGGGGAGAGAAAAGATTAATGTTGAGAGAGGTTTTTATAATTATTATTTTCTTCAAAAGCATACATTCTATTATATGTGTTTATAAATTTTTGGCTTAAAATATTAGAATGGTTAAAAATTAGACAAATAAGTTTCACTGTTAAGAGGTTACAGGAAAAAAGGAATGCTGTTTTTCTCTACTTAAACTGTTTACTGAGACAATTAGAGCTGACATTTATTGAATACCTAAAATAGACCAGGAATTATGTTATGCATTCAAAAAGCAAAGTTCAAAAGGAACTTATATTATCAAATGCACTGCCCTTTGGACAATGATTTTGGGTATAATTGATATTCATAGTATTCTGCCTAGACTGTTACCTTGATGTACAATAGTGTTTTCCCAGACTTGCTTAATAAAAAATAGATTAAAAATAAAAGGTAGTCACAGGTCTTTGACCAAATATCCCTATGTTTGTATTGTCTTACAGATGAAAGTAGTAAGTCCATTTCTCATCATAAATCATTTTTTTCTAAATTGTTTTTCTGGACATAGTTCAAGTAGAACAACCAATCTATTTATGTCAGCCCTTGCTCTTTTCAATGACCTCTTATTGAGCAATCTGCTAGATGAAGGGCTGGTTAGCAAACAATAGCTTGCTACAAAAACACTGACTAAGGCCTGCCAGGCATGCGTGCTGCTCCACTCTGTTCTCTGGAAATTAGCACCCAAGCTGATTCTAGAAATGGCAGCTTCATGAAATTATTGCTTTACCAGAAATCACCTTAGATGTGGAACTTCTGTCTGACATGCAATCTTATGCACACTCACACATTCACAGCTCATCTTACTTGGTAAAATGGCTTGTTGCTTCTAGGTCTGTGTCTTGTGGACGAAGATTATCATACACATATTTCAGGTCTTGGATTCCACTTAGCTCAGGCAGTCCTGCATGTAGCATCTTTGTAACAATAAAATCCAAAACCAAAAAACAAATAAACAAACAAACAAAAAGAGGAAATGCAGAAAAGAAATTAGACTCATTTGGTTTATTCTGATAGGCATATAAACATAAGTTTGCATACAATGGTCTTCAATTTATATATGGGAATGAATGTAGGTTCATGAGTTTTAGTGGTAGAAGCAATAGCAACAATAATAAAAAGAATGATTGTAATTGGCAAAATGCTCATAGATTAACAATTTAATTTAATTTTCCTAGTAGACCAGTGAAGAAAGCATGAAATTCCTTTTATCCCCATGTCAGAATTTCTGGATCCACCACTTAAAATCTGAGTGATCTTGAGAAAGTTCCTTAACTCACTGAATTTCTACTTTCTCATTTCTAAAGTATGTATAAAAATACCCAACATGCTCTGGGAGAATCAAATGGCTAATGAATGAGAGATACTTTTGCACATTTCAGAATATTACACAAAACTTATGTAATATTGTGCATTTTAGAGAAGATAAGTTTAATCACTAGAAAGCTGCAAGTGGCATGTCCAGTTCAAATGATGTGTAACAGCGGAGTATAACACTGTTATACTCTGGTGCTTAGTCCTCTCTTTCTTCATGACTCCGTGGCTCACTCTCACATTGCAGTCTTCCCCAGTTGAATGGTGACTATATTTATTAAAGATTATTAAGTAATGAAATAATTAAGAATAAAATTGAACAGGTATTTTTCTGCTAATCTTCAGAAAAGTACTTTGTTTACCTTACGCTGTAGACTGAAGGGATAATATTCTCTTTAGTTGTAGGCAAAATTCTCAGAGGAAAAAAAAAAACATAGGTCTTTTTGAAACAAATTTGAACTTTTTCAAGAAGAAGAAAACTATTTTTCAGGACCTCTATGACTAAGATGATAAATGATTTCCTGTTCTGAAATAGAGACAGTTTTACAATGAGAAGTTAATCCTAATAATCAAGGACAAAGTGATTACGTGGTTGTGGTTGTAGAGGAAGGGTGAAGTTGTATTTGATTTGATGAAGTTTGAATGAGAAAAATGTGGGTTTGAAAATGCTCTTCTTTCCCACAGTCCCCACCCAGGTTGAGGGAACAGCATGTATGGATGTACACAGGAGACCAAGATGTTTTTACTGTGCTTGCAAAAAGAAATCCAGGAAGGTTTTCTGGAAAACAGAGAATTATATGTCTGATCACCAAGAGATGGGGATGAAAAAGCAAACAGGGTAGAGTATTTTACAATATTAAAGATGTGTGCCATATCCTAAAGTAAGAGAGAGCTCTTTAAATGTTTTTACATTTGACTGAAAGAACTGACTCTGTTTCAGAAAGACCACCATGGCTGTGTATCAAAATTCATTAGACAGGGTCCATGTAAGAGGCTGGACTAGAAACTGGTTTGGAGTGGAGACATTATTGGATCTCAAATATATGAAGAAAGTAGAATTGGGAAAACTGAGTGATTGATTGAATATATCGAGAGAGCTGAAAAGAGTCCAAAGCACACAGCTGTAAATATAGATTTGGGAGTCATTAGCACACAGTTGATAGCTGAAACCACAGAAATGGATCAGCTAGTCCTCGAGAGTTGCCAAATGCCTCTCCTCATGGGCAATTGGGTGGCATTTCAAATCACCATATCTAAATTTGAGTCAGTTCTATCAATCTTTCCTCCTTTTTTCCTGTTTCATATCTCCCTTTAAACTGTCACCTTTGTGCAGCTGACAAGAAATTCATATTTTCTTCCAATCCCTATTTTTCCTGATTTTCATGGTCAATCACTTAATTCTATGAAAAAATTTCAACAGACTCTCGGATTCATTCCCCTGTGTTTCACTGCAACTACCCGTGTTCTAGTTCAGCTCTTTATATTCCTTTGCCTAGGTTTCTTGAATAACTTCTCGAACCCTTAAATCTTTAATTCCATAAATTGATTTATCTATCTAACACTCAAGAAGGACAATGGTACTGTCTTCTCTATAAACAAACATACTTCTCTTATTTTTTTAAGGATCTATGTATCAAAGTCTAAACCTCATTCTGGTCATAAATGACTTTTATAATCTAACTTCAATATCACTTCAACCTTGTCTTTTCCTACAGAGGCCTCCATCTGTACTATAGACTAGGCACACTTGATCACATCCATTTCCAACACATGCTGTACCCAAGCTCTTAAAACTGCCATGGATACTTATATGCCTCCCCCAACTCCTAGTCAGTAATGCTTTTCCTCTCCTTCCTTGGCTATGAAAATCTTTTACAGTGCTCCACTTAAATACTTCTTCCTCCTTGAAGCATCACTGATCCTCTTGATGAGGTTTAATTACTGCTATCTTTGTACAGCAATCATATCTTGGCTCTACCTTTCACAGTACTAATTCCTAGCTTTTACTATGTGTTGTTTATGAAGGGTTTTTTTTTCATATTAGATTTTAAGTTTTTTGAGAGCAGGAATTGAGCTTTGATTCAGTGTTGATCTGTCTATATTGCTTAGCATGGTGCTTTGTAAATAGTTGGAACTTCATGTATGTCTGTGGAATGATGCATGAATGGGTAAATGAATAAATGAGTGAATAGAAAAAATTCCAGATGCTATTAGGCTTTGAAAACATGTTACTAGCAAAGTCAGCACTGACTGACTACTAACCAAAATCAACCACAGGGAGACACATTCCCAACAGCAATTAGAATCCAGATTAGGTTTTATCTCATCATCTCTGTACTTAGAGTCCTAGAGACATCTGCGTACTTATTGAGGCAGATTTCTTTTTTTATCCCACCATGATCATTCATTAGCTAAAAACAGGCTTCTTCTCTAGAGCTTATGTTGGATTCTAGTCTTATTTGAATACCCTGAATTGACACCTGCCTGGCGAGGACTCTGTCAAACGTTTCTTTTGGAAGGTAGGTGCTACATTTACTCTTTCCTCTGTCTACACAACACACACACACACACACACACACACACACACACACACACATTATAGTGCATCCAAGTACAGACTGTCAAAGCAGATGCACTTCTCTCTCTCCCCATTTGTCCCTGAGTAAAGGTGGCCAGTGCTAAGTTTGCCATTTATAATGTTTCCCTTTCTTGGAGAGGAATGGAGGATGTGGGTGTTGTGATTGAACCCTACAGGATGCTGATGGCCCCTGGTAGCTGAACCACTTAGCCATATCTGTTCTCTGCCCCCTGGCAATGTGGTTCAAGTGCCTCCTGGTCTAGACTGCATGGGCAATTTCTGTAACTGACTGCATGGGCAATTTCTGTAACTGAGGCAGTAGGGAAGGGAAAGATCAGGTAGAACAGGCATTGGACAGATGTAGATAATGACTAGATAAGTAACTTTATAAGGACAAGAGCATTTTAAAAGTTTCTATTTCTGTTCTTGTCCTACTAAGTCCAAATCTATTTTTATAGCTTTGCTTAGAGAGGTAGGCAGTCTTCCCTGCATCATAGAGAAACTAGTAAGATTTCTGCAGGGAAATATCTGATATAATAATGGGTGTAATAAACATTTTAAACTGGGTGAATGGTCCTTGTGTTCTTTCGGAGTCTTTCATAATAGTTGATATTGATTTTTTAATGAGAGAAAAGCTGATGAAATACAGGCTTTTATGTAAGTGAATTCAGCCACTAACACTCTTGGGTCTCCTACAGATGTTGCTTTTAAGTAAGATGGGAATTTCATAGATTATTTTTTCCCAGGAGGAAATAAAGAACACTGAAAATATCTGTAAACCTGCTCTGCTCTCTGCTGAGGATGAGTCAATAACTCCAGAGTGAACCCACCAAATACCCGTGGCTAATAACACTGGGTACTGACCATTCATGGAAGATAGAATTTATGGCCCATGCCAAGTATATCTCAAGTCGTAAATGGGCCATGGCTTATTAGATTGAATTATTTTAAAGGAATTTAACACTAAGAATCAGCTTGAGACAGAATTGAGGGGAAGGTAGATACATGCATAAGTGAAAAATAATCTTTCACAAATTTAAACTTGTTTTTTATTTTATAAGAAGGTTTACCAGAGAACCTGTGGTCCTGAAACCTTCACTAAATGCTTTATCCATGGAGTCCCATAAGATCCACCCTTGAGAAAAAAGAAAGGAATTTAAAGGTAAATGATCATAAACTGAGGAAACAGCACACTGATGTTTTATGTTTGTTTATGGGTTTAATTGGTCCAGATTGCTTCTCTTCTGTTTCAGTTTAATAGTCTAAATCAAAGATTATATGCTTAATCTGAATTAATACCTTCCATTGTCAACACTTTTTCCTTAGCCTAAAAGTCAAGCCTTGATTAAATTAGAACATAGAACAATTTTTGAATATATTATATACCAGAAACTTGCAAAAACTAAAGTATTTATGAGGAATTATTTTGAGTAAATACCATGTATCTATTTCTTTTATATGAAATAGCATTACATATGGAATGACATTAATGATTATTTAATAAATTATAACACATGTTGAATCTTTTTTAAGGTATGTAGAAAAATTAATTAAACAAGGGAAAAAACCTACCAGTAGCTTTCTGAATCTATTTTTTGAGAGGTTGTCCTTTCATATTATTTAACTTGCTAAATTGTCATCCAGAATAATTTTAGTGTCACCTGAGAAGCTATATTTGTGTTTTTCTGCTTTAGGTATATTTTTGAAATGTCTCTGGTAAGGCAGTTGGTAAAATTTGGAATTACTCCTTTTATGCAGTTATTTATAGCATTATAGACATTTTGAAATGCTGGACACCTCATTTATTTGTATACACAATTTTAGCTCCCTTACTAAATTCAAAAAAACTTTAAACTCTGACTAGGTCATATACATTGACATATCATTCACCGTGTCTGTCATACAGTAAGCATACACGAGCTCATGGATTCATGAATTGATCTTGCTAAAGTCTAAGGGGATATTAGAGTTGATACTGCCTCTATGTTGGAGTCAAGTTCATGGACTTAGTCCTTGTCGAGTTTGCTTTGTGGTATGAACTTGGCTTATTATAATCTGTAAGCCATCCCATACAGCACTATGGTCTGATAGAACTGGGAGAGAGAATGCAGACTATCAGTATGAATCATTGGCTGTTTTTGGAAATTCAATTGGAAGACTCAGGAGATGGTCAGAACCTTCTGTATTTAGTTTACATAAGAAGAAACCAAAGTGTCTTTTTACATGAAGGACATGTTTCTAGTATTTTTAGAAATCTTTATTTTTCAAGGTAGAAAGAAGCACAGTGGCTATGTTGTTTGAAAGTTAAAACCAGACTCCAAATTGTTGCAACAAAGTCAACATTTATTCAGTAGGACTAGCTAGAATTTTTCTGTGATGATGAAGGATGTTTTTATATCGGTGCTGTCCCATATGGTGCAACTTGCCACAAGGCTTATTGAGCATTTTAAAAGTAACTCATAAAACTGGGCATGCTGGTACGTATCTGTAATCCCGGAAGACTAAGGCATGAGGATCACAAGTTCAAGGGATCCTCAGCAATTTAATGAGACCCTGTCTCATCATAAAAAATAAAAGAGAACTGTGTATGTAGCTCAGTGGTAGAGTCTTCCTGAATTCAATTCCCAGTACCAAGAAGAAAAAAAAAAGTTGCTAGTGAGATTGAGGAACTGAATTTTTAATTTACATAATAATAATTTCAATTTAAATGAGATTAGCTTTAATTTGACCAGAGGATACTGTACTGAACAGTGTTCTTGTAAAGTAACAAGAATTTAGCAGAATAATATTATCCAATTGAACATTACTATGTGACAGGTACTATTCTAAATGCTTTATATTAGTTGTCAATTAGGATGATTATGAATTTAATCAATTAATATCCATAAAGCATTTACAACAGTGCCAGGTCTAGGCAAAGTATTCATTATTAGATCATTTATTCATCAACTCTACAAGGTAGATGCTATTATCTTCATTTAGTAGTATTTTTAGGATTAGGTAACATACTCTGAGGAATGGAATCCATAAAATGTCAAGCTAGATTCAAACTCAGGGAGGCCCAACCTCTAACTCTATGCCTTTAATAACATCTAGCAGATTTATTGTCCTCTGAAAGCTTTTAACCACTTTGAATTGACTCTATGCCCCACACTGATGGACCGTGGAATGCTTCTCTCCGACAAATTGATGCAATTACTGGTGTGTATGTTGTAACCAAGGGAATCACATCCTTCTCCCAGAATATCTTTCTTTCAGGCTACCCACCCGCTCCCATGTAACTTTACTTCATCTCTTTGGATTGAACAGAGGAAAGAAATATTAAATTTCCCCTATTAGTCAACAGAGCATATAGGATCATGTCTCAATAGACCCAATATATACCACTAAATGGACTCTTCTCTGAATTGCTAGCAAGTCACTTTACATTTTGACTCTTAGTTTCTTAATCTAAAAAATAGGCAAATGGGCAGAGATTGGAGGAAACCAGGAAAAATTATTGCTTGGTCTGCATCATTAGGTTGCCATGGATATATAAAGGAGAGAATTTTTAAGCATTTTTGAAAAATACTAC